TCAAGATAGTGTGAAGCAAAATCAATTCATGGTACCCAACAAAGCTTCAACCTCAAAGCTTCACCTACAAAGCTTCAACACCAAAGCTTTAAAAAAAAAATATATATATATATATATATATATATATATTTTCGAAAATTCGAAAATTCGAAAATTCAAAAATTCAGAAATTCGAAAATTCGAAAGTTCAAAAAAAAAATTGAAAAAAAAAATTGCCTAGGCCTCCTCTTCTTTGAGCCTAACAACTTTCATAACAAATATATATGAAGAAGGAGTTTTTGGCTACCACTTAGAAAGGAAATGCCTCATTCATCAACTCCATCGACCGGAGACTTAGGGGACTCCTACCATATGCTACTAAACCTTGATACTCGGAAGTCTTACGACCACTCAGTGACTTGGATTTTTCAAGTCTCCAAACGAGAAGTTTTCCTCACTAGGGAAATTAAGGGAGCACTACCTCAACCTACATGCTTCACTCACAAAGCTTCAACATACAAGATTCAACAAAAGGAAAAATTCAAAGAACTTAGTGAACAAGGTCTTGGTGTATTTAACACAATACGTTGAAATGAAGCAAAGCTTGTTTATTGATATCTCCGATAAGTTACAAATATGTACATATACATGAATCAAAATAAACAAACAAGAGGGAGCCTTCACAAAGGTTGCTCAGGAGAAGTCTTAGCAGTCGGCAGAGCCCCAGAAAGAGGAGGCACCAGAGGGTGATTATTCGGAGCTTCAGTACTAGGCAGAACCCCAGAATGATAAGGCACCGAAGGTTGATCATTTGGAGCTTCGTTATGCGGTACAGCCCCAGAAGACGAAGGCAATAAATGCCTTTGGAACAAACCCACAAATCTCTGATGATCAAGTAAAATCTGACCATCAGATTCCTGCAACTGGTCAAGCTTCCTCTTCATGTTTGTAGCATAGTCATGTGCGAGCATGTGCAACTGTTTATTCTCATACTTAAGCCCTCTGATCCTTTGTTTAAGACTTATCACTTCAACCGCTAATGATTCAACTTGGCGGGTTCGAGCAAATAGGTGTTGGGCCATATTAGACACAGAACCTGCACACTGAACACTCAAAGCAAGAGAATCCTTAACAGCCAACTCATCAGACCATTTGGAAAGTAGTCTGTTATCTTTGAGAGTGAGAAAGTTCCTGGCCACCACCGCAGCAGTCATATCATTCTTTATCGCAGAGTCCCCAATGGTAAGAGAACCAGTAGGGGATAAGAAGGATGGGCGCCATATGTTGTCTTGAGAAGGCATGGCTACCTCTTCACCAAAGTTCAAGTCAAAACGACGGTCGAATGGGCCAGACATTCTCAGAAATAATGAATGAGAAATGAGGTGCAATAAATCTCTGAAGTAAGGGGAAAATTCCTACAAGCAATAACTCTCTGAATGTACTTCTTGCACACAATTGGTGCCCTTATAACAGAAAGAGCAACAGGATCGTTGGTTCAAAAATCGAAGAGGCATCACTCTCCGGATTCTGAAGAGGCACCACTTTCCATACGCAACATCAGCTCCTCGAGTACCACAGATAACTTTGCCAAAGATCTCTGACAAAGTTTAGACACATAAATTTTGAAGGTCCAGCTACCCTATTATTACCCACAAGGGTAAAGGAACAACACCACTGCTTGATAACTAGAAAGTCTTAATGTGTGTCAACCTCCGTGCTCCGTGGCAAGGCAGACAAGTAAAAATGCCTAACCTTTATTCACATTCGAGAAAACATTCCCAACAAGATTGCTTGCTCAACAATCGAAGAGGCACCGCCCCCCGAATCTCGAGAGCCAAACTCCCAACAGGATTACTTTCTCAAAAATCGAAGAAACACTGCTATCCGAATCTCAAGAGTCAGACTCCCAACAGGATTGCTTTCTCAAAAATCGAAGAGGCACCGCTCTCCGAATCTCAAGAGCCAGACTCCCAACAGGATTACGTGCTCAAAAATCGAAGAGGCACCGCCCTCCGAATTTCGAGAGCTAGACTCCCAACAGGATTACTTTCTCAAAAATCAAGAGACACTACTCTTCGAATCTCGAGAGCCAGACTCTCAACATGATTGCTTTCTCAAAAATCGAAGAGGCACCGTTCTCTGAATCTCGATAGCTAGATCCCCGACAGGATTACTTGTTCGAAAACCGAAGAGGCATCGCTCTCCGAACTTCGAGAGCCAGATTTCCTTGGATTACGCTTGTCTGTAATCTTCACACGCAACATCAACTTTCCAGATACCACAGACTACTTTTTCAAAGTGCTCTGACAAAGTTAAAACACGTGAAGTTTGCAGCTCCCACTACATTGCTATGACCAAGAAATGTAAAGGAATAACACTACTACTTGTTGTTAGGGAGACTCCTATATATGTCGGCATCCATCCTCCACAGCCAGGCAAACCTGCAAATAAAAGAAATGCTCAACTTTTCTTCATATTTTTTATGGCACTCTCAGCAGAGTCTCTCGAAATACTCAGCTTCTTTTCCTCCCGATAATACATCTGCAAACAAGCCACACCAGAGCAAGAGTATCCTATATCATGCTTTTTCCCTGTCTTTTCCTTTGGCCTTATTCTTACCTGCAAGACAAGGAGAAAGAGAGCAATCAGTCAGCACTTGGAATCAAGCTTCTAGTCAGGAACTAACTACCTGGAACCCCTTGCCTGATTACTTACCTGGCATTTCTCTCGAGTACTCATCTTCAACATCTTATGCTTCCAGAGAAGATACAACATCTGCTTGAGGAACATATAAGGCAAGTGAGAAGGATACAAGGAAGCATGTGGAGACAAGCGTAACAGAACACGTGCCGATACATCCACTACTTTGTCAACAACAAAAGTATCCCATATCATCAGGGTCGAACGTACTCTAGATTTGATGGACTTGTTTTGACCCTCAAATTCTTGAGTCGGCCTTATACTCTGAAGGAAACCAGAAAACCCTCCAGCCCAGTTCAAGAATAAGTCTGTGGAAAGTTACTTCTTTAAAAGCAAAAGTATCTCATATCATCTCTTCTCCATTTGCTTTTCCTTATCCTTGGTGCTATTTACGACACAAGGAGAAGGAGAACAATCAACCAGAAGCCGAAGTCGAACCTCCGATCCAGGTTGCTTACTTGGAAGTCTGATTGCTTACCTTGTCTGTTACCTCATTTGGCAAATCTCCTAGCTCGACGACTTGTGAAACTTCTACTATAGGGTTTGGAATGCACTTGACCAAGCCTGAAACTACAAGTAAGCTTCAAGTGAAATTGATACATTACCTTGTGCATCTTCATCAGTTAAAGATACCACCCTTGGATGGAGGAAAAGTACTTCCAGAGAAGATGCCACATCTACATATGAGACAGATAAGGCAAGTGAAAATGATACCACACTTCAGTACTTAGAAGTTTCGTGATTACTCAATAGCTTGGATCTTACAAGTCCCCAACCGAGGAGCTTCCCTCACTCGGGAACTTAGGGGAGCACTGTTTGTACCATACTTGACCAATCCCGAAACTACTGAGCACCGGTTAACGTTATAACGTCCAGGACCCAGAAGAGTTTCCCTTCAACCAGGAGGCCAATTACAGAGCGACACGTGTCGACATCAGAAGCCAATCATAACACGACACGTGTCAACATCAGAAGCCAATCACAACACGACACGTGTCAATGTCAGAATGAAACTAGAAACTCTCTTTTATAAATAGAGATCATTCTCTCACAATATTTCCCAATGTCATTTGTACTAAATCATTCACTAGTACTCAATAAAGGAGAGATTGAACCTATGTACTTGTGTAAACCCTTCACAATTAATGAGAACTCCTCTACTCCGTGGACGTAGCCAATCTGGGTGAACTATGTACATCTAGTGTTTGCTTCCCTGTCTCTATCCATTTACATACTTATCCACACTAGTGACCAGAGCAATCTAGCGAAGGTCACAAACTTAACACTTTCTGTTGTACCAAAGTCCTCACTGATTTTGTGTATCAACAAATAATATGTTTTAGGTCTTGAAATCAAGTCTTAAGGGCTGTGTGACTATTTGGACCCAAAATGATAGTTTATGTTGGGCCCATAATTAATTTCACCCCAATGAATGTGGCCTCGGGAATCTTCAAATATTCTCAAGAAGGGCCTAGCCCAATGGAATTCGACCTAGTCCTATTAGGAAAAGATTCATGGATAAGGGGGACGGACGAGTGCTAGTATAACAAGGAATCCTTAGAAACCAATTATGCTTCTAATAAGGAAAAATGCCAAGAATCAAGGGTTGAGTCTAGGTGATAATAGAGTTAGATTCAGAGTCCTACATGGACCAGGACTAGCCTAAGCTTATTCAGATTTGATTAAGGAATTGGAGTCTGAATGAAACTCCACTTCGGTCATGAGAAATTGCTATTGTAAATAGAGAGGGGAGTGCATCATTCAAAGCCCTTCCAAATCATCACACAAAATTGCACTACGCAAACTCTTACTTTACGTGAAACCTCTCAAGCATCTTGAGATTTTTATTTTACTTTTTTTTTTGCCAACACATTTTCAATTTGGATAAACAGCAATGTGTTGGCAACCTAAATAAACAACATTGTTTTGGTAACAGGCAACATCTTCAGTTTGAATAAAAAGCACTGGAGCCGTAGAATCAACCAACCGATGAGCACATCTAGAACCCGAAGGTCTAAATATTTGAATTTGGATCCGAGGGTTAGAGTGGAAACAGCCATAACAAAGACAGTTTTCATCTAGTGATTGGCCTTCAATTTTAGACCACCCACTTGAGCAGAAAATGCACCCGACCAATAAAGATTCAGGCGACCAAAAAACACAAAACAAAAAAGATTCGGATTTCGGTCGTCAGCCTAGTTGTGGACTTGTAGTTGGTTCTTTTCACACGTGAGCCCTTCGGTGGCTATACATGGAAGAATCTGTGGCCCGGAATGGGATTCCACCACAACTGCTAAAATGGAAATTTTAATAATTATTATTTTCAGAAAAATACGAAATAGGATAATCAGAGAGACTGAGAGGACATTCAATATTATTTTAATTAATTATTAAAAGACACCAGCAAAAGCGGGAAACTTCGAACCAGGAAAAGCCCCACCACGTACAACTCTCACTCTCCCTCTCTCTAGGGTTTGAACACAGAGCCGCCGTGTGAAAGCAGCCATGGACGACGTTAGGGCAAGCTCTGCTTGGGTCGCAAGCCATTCTTCTCATGTCGTCGTCGACTCTTCAGGTCTCTCCACACCTTTGTCTCTGAGCAACTGAGCAAAATGCCGCATTTTGATTATTCTGCTCATTCAAATTTTTAATTTGTTTCTCTAGCTTTCCCTTTTGCTTATTTTAATTGGGTTTTTTAATTATTTATTTTGTTAATTTTTTAAAGGGATTGAGAAAGTGGCGGAGAGGATAGATACAATTCCGAAGGTGAAATGGGATTTCGAAGGAATACACTATTTCGACAATGGGCCTCTCACCGTTCAGTATCTCTTTGTGTTGGACGCTTTGAATTTCTGCTTTTGGCCTGGTATTTATATCCATTTCTTTTCGTTCTTTTTTAATTTGTTGGATATGTCAATGTAATTCCTTGTCATTTTTTAGCTCGGATTTTATTGTTGTTAGTCATGCAGAGCACTTGATTAGTTTAATAGTACTACTGTAAGCTAACTAAGGGGAAGGGGGAGGGTTTGAACCCGGGCTGCAATGCCTTTGTTTCGGGGTTTATGTGTCTGGTCAAGATATATACCTGTGTGTTTATACTTTTGCACTTTCCATTTTTCCTTTACTGAGCCAAGTTGCGGCAATTCGGTCAGATAGAGTGTTGTTTATAAATGTGCTGCCTAAAGTTATCAAGATTTAAAATTTTCCATGTATAGGCATTGTGTGTTTGGTGCAGTGTGGGTTTTCAGTATGCGGTTGAAGAAACAGATCGGTCATGCTATAGATTGAATAATTTTATATATCACTGTCAGCAAATGCTAGATTCAGTGACAGCAAAATCGAACTATAAGAGCGGCAAAAGTATAATCATCAAGATTTAGTACAAAAGTCTGAGCAAGTTATAGATTCCTTATACCTTTTTTTACAAATTTCTGTAGTTTGATCCACTAAAACTTTTGTGCTAAATTGTTTCTTTGTTTTTGTTGACAGATAAGGACTTAAATTATGACAATTTGGCTGCTGGTCTAAAGGAAGCAATACAAAATGACAAATCTGTGTTTGATGCTGATCGTTTGCAGAAATACACCGGTACTTCTATTCTTGAACACATATCTCTATGTTCATACTAATGTTATGTCACATACAATGCCATTTACGCGGTAATTGGGATATATATCAAGCATACTTCTTTGTCCCAGTTGGTAGAAGAAAAATGAATGTTATTAATAAATAAAAAAAGAGATTTCAGATAATGTACTCGTGCCTCCATAGAACCTTAAATTTATGAATGAGAAACTGAGCTATTGAAAACAAGTTTGCCGTCATAATTTCTGACTTCGGTGATGCTTTTTCACCAGACAGTAATTTGTTTAAAATGTTTCATGTCATAAGGTTCTGAACTGCGGGAGCTGTTGAAATGGCCTAGGCCATTACCTTTGGAGGATGAGAGAGTTCGTTTGCTGCATGAGGTGAGATTTACCTTTACATTTACAAAAGCTTTTATTCTTGCATTTTATCTTCTTTCTGTTAATAAATGCTATTCAGGTTTCCTTTTGTTTGATTTTTTGTAACTGGTTCTGTAACTAAGATGTGCCCTATCTATCCAAAATATTGCTAACTTTTGTGGCCTAGGTTGGGTTTGAGCTTGAGAGAAGCTTTGACGGCAAAGCATCCAACCTTGTGGAGTCCTGTGGAAAGTCAGCGGTTAAGCTTGTTGCTCTTGTTACTCGTCACTTTCCTGGTATATTTTAGGGTTTAAAATATAGCTGTATGGTTTGTACTGCATGGTTTGTAGTTGTTATTTCCCAGGAAACAGGCATATTGACTGTAATTAATTAAACTTTTTAGGTTTCAGAGACCACTCGGTATACAAAGGCCACCAAGTATTTTTGTATAAAAGAGCTCAGATATTTGCAGCAGATTTATGGGGAGCATTTGGCGGCCAAGGATATGGAGAATTTTATGACATTGGCTCAATCACTATTATGGCGGACTACATTGTTCCAGCCGTGCTTAGACAGCTGGGTGTGCTGAAGTATAGTGCAACCCTTGCCAGCACAATTGAGGCTAATACCCAAATAGTTGCAGGCAGTGAGGAGGAAGTCGAACTGCGAGCATGCTCCATATATGCTGTGGAGAAAATGAAAGAGTTGATCAGTATGAAATCAGGGAAGAAGGTATGGTTTATTTTCAGTCCTGGTCATAGTGTGTAATATGTTGTACTTGAATTTTTAAATTCTTTCCGTGGCTGCATTTATGTAATGAAAATTCAGATTTTTTTCTTTTACCTAAGTGTCCTGCACCAGTTCTATTCTCACCCAAGTGAACTGTTGTCGGACCATGTCATACCTCTGCACTAGAAACTGCGTTGAACATATCCTGAAACAGTTTTCTTTTTTTAATCATTTCAATCCAGTCTCTTTGATTTTACTTGTGGGGTTTCTTTTTCAGGTGCTGAGTATTGAGTTAGACCTTTGGCTTTGGTCTTTTGGCATTCAGTGTCCTGCACTGCAACACCATCGCACCCTCTCAATATATTATTGAGTGCACTATATCTCATTGTACTCCTTTGCTATATATGTCCTTGGGAGAAAGGAAAATTTTGGGCTTTGAAGTTTCTAGTTAAAGTCTTTGGATGAGTATGAAACAGGTTCTGGCATCCTATTTCCTTTCGCAAATTTTGCGGCTTTTATAATTTTGCATAGTGCAACTAGTTTAATTGTTGAACAAATGAAGATCAATAGGAAGGTTATGGTAACTAAATGATTTAGTATGTAGTTTCCAACTGATACTTTCTTTACCATGTGTCAATTTTTGTTTTGATTTTATTGAACAAACGATTTTATATGGCTCTTGAAATGTGGCAGCAGGTGTTTAGTATTTCCTTGTGATCATAGAATTGCATTGCATGAGAAGAGATGTGCTCTTCGAATTGGTGCATGATTTTTGCTTATTATTGTCTTATGAGTTCACTAAATCTCACTTCAAGTCAGAGTCGAGTTTTAAACACTACTTCTGCAGGTGTCTGTTCCTCAAATTGGTATACATGCAGTAAAAACTACCATCCATGTATAAAATTATATCATGGCTCTGATCTACCCTGTGAGGATTAGTTCTATCTTGACAGTCCTTGTGTATTCCAATCATAAATGGGTATAAATACTTACAGACGTATTACTAAACTTATTATACATTGGCAATTTAGCAGTTTAGAAGATGCATGGCGAAAATCAACCCTAACATTATGGCCAATATTGACGTGTAAGTAACTCAGCTGATCAGAGAAGCAGCATGGTTGAATCAGAGTGATGACGAAAGCATATTCTATGTGCTAATGCCTAGTTCAGATTTTCCAGCTCCCGTCTAAATATTTATGTGCTGCTGCTATAATAGTTTTTTGTTTCAAACCTGCAGTGATTCTGATAGGCTAAATAGGGTTGAACTTTTGGCTGCATGATTTTTTTCGTGATCCTTTTGCCCTAGTACAATACTTGCACTGCTTACATAGAATGTAGATGGTTTACTTTGACAATTCAGTTCTACTTTCTATTATGCCAATACATGCGTGACTTGGTAGCAATGAAAAATATACGCTGAAATGTCTTTTATTTACTGAGCACTCTTGATGATAGTTATGTTGCAGAGCTAGGGTTCCTTGTCGTTGGCAAATTTCCATCATAAGTACATTTTAGGACATCTGGCTTCCTCACTATCCAGGGACCAACAGGAACCTTGTTTTCTTTTGGGCGAATATCCTGTGCATTTAGAGAAAATTTAAACATATCAATAGTCTTTTATGACAAACCGTTTCTGTTTATAAATAATTTATTGTGAGCTTTGTCATAGGAAAGCACATTGCCTCCTTATGCTTCTAGCCTTGCGTTAGTTACCTTGGTGTACACAAGAAAAAGTTTGATCAATTATGACTTCTGTCGATAGCTTAGACCTTTTTGAGCATTAGGAGTCCTCTTATCAATATGGATTGAGGGATCATCCGAGTTAAAGTAGAATATAACTGTACTGTGTAATTGAGTTCTTATATTTTGGGAATACTTAAGATTTGACTAGAAGAGCTCTTCTTGAACCATGAATATATTGTGAAAAAAAAAATTAGGAGAGAACTCTTATTTATATTTGTATGTAATATCATCTAGATACGTAGCTATTGCAACAGCAGTGGGAGATTTACATTTTTGCATGAATAGAATATAAGCTATTGCATTAAGCATCTAGATACATAGCTATGGTAATGTAGCAGCCCGTTAGTTGGAAACATTTTTGCAGATGATATAGTTGTAGTATTAGTTAGGGTAATATAAATCTGTAGGAGGCTTTGCCAGAAATGGTTACCTGGTCAAAGATAGATGTTGGGATTGCTATAGTTGCAACAGCATTGGGAGAGTCAACTATTCCTGAAATTCTTCCCTCACACGGGCAGCATGACAACAGAAGATAGCTCTGATATATGACATATGCCATATCCGTATGGAAGACTACAATAATATATTTAGGTAGGCATGTCTTTCGGTGTCTCGGTGTATGCTTGTGATTGTGCGTTTGTGGGGAATCGTCTATGTGATAAAGAGAGAGGTCGAAAACCTGTTCTTTGGAGTATCCAAATTTAGAGAGGTAGTCAATTGCATTGAGTACTGCTGGCTTGTAAGCCACAGTTGCATCTAGGTAATGCTGCTTCCCACTCTCGTCAACACTGATGCCCTCAAACACCAACCATTCTGAGAATCTTGGCTCAATCAGGCCTGTCTCAAAGATTGGGTTCACGTGAAGAGGAGTTGGCCCCATTGGTGTGAGGTATTCTTTCATTCCGCCTCTTATAATTTCACACCTGATAACATAATCGTATAGGGTAAACTCTGAATTGTATTATATATCATGCAATGTATTTATTTATCAGTATGTGTGTGTGTGTCTGCATGTTGTGTTGTAGAAAGTTTAGCTTTTATGACCAGCTCCAGCTTTTCCTCACAAAGCCCCTGGTTTGGATATAGTAACGTTAAGAGATGAGATGTGAAATTTGTACTTGAGCTCCAGGAAACCGCTCATCTCAATTGCCCCGCAGAGTGAGATTTCACCATCACCCTGGGATTTGCTCCTTCAACAAATACTGGAAGGTATATTAACCACTACTAAGATTTTTTATGTCACAATTGCCTCCATTTTCTCTTCCTGGAATTGTTCTTGCGGCCTCCATGGCTATCTTTTCCCATTCAGGAGTGCCCTCTTTGATCTATGAATAACCAGTGTGTGTTACTAGTATCAATATTTTATAGGTAAAAATTGGACAGCATGGTTATTGTCTCTGTGCAGTAGGCTGCAGAAGTTAAAATTCTTTTAGCATGAACCAATGTTTTATAGAAATTTAGTCGTGTTGGAGGTTTTTCATTGTTAATTTGATACCCTTAACTAAATATTTTTCAATTCAGCAATACCCCTCCAAGGACGCAACCTTCTGTTGATGGGAGGTTAGCCAATGGTCATTGATGCAAAGCCTCACATAATTTCATAGACTTGAGTCCATTTTCTTCAAGTTCTCTCTGCCTTTCATTCCATATGTTCAGGAGTTCCATTGGCGGTGCTGTTCCAACTAGTCCAGGATGGATTAGCGCTGGGAATCTCACTCCTGCCATGCATATACAAGAGTACGTTAGAGGCAACACTCGTAGCACTAGGGATGAGTACCTTTATGAATCGTTTAGTGGCATTATTAGCACGAGAAAAGAAAACAGGTTGAGATTTCACCTGGTATGTGAGGCGAGTAGGCGTATATCCCTTTGAAATACCAAATAGCTTTGGTTGCAGAAGGAAAATGGTCAGTCAGGAAACACCCTCCATTTTCTCTGTCAAATGTTGCTGTGAAACCCCATTCATCTCCTGGGAGAGGACCCAGGTTGCATATCTCAACTACCAGAAGATCACCTGGCTGTGCTGGAATTCCATCCGTACCTAAAATTCTTATCGGGTCACTGAGGTAATGAGCCTGCACCAAGTTTGAAAATTCTTATCTGTTACGTTAAATTATCATTCTACATGTTCTTGTTCATACACCTGATAGGATTATACATGAGTGGCGTCTGTTGATCAGGATAATTTGTAGACTCAAGATCTTAACCCGATCCTATAACATGTTATTGGACTTTTTATCGGTTTAAAACTATTTCAAGCGTTAGTTTATAACTTTATATACATGCTCTTGATGAACTAGTGTAAAAACAGGGAGCATAGTTAAGTATGTTCTATACAACAGAGGATAAATACAACAGAACAATTTGCTTAATTTTTACTTTGCTGAACAATCCAGCATTTAAATTTTTTACCCCAGAAACATGTAAATATGCAATCATACTATGTTTGAGGATCTTTGTTTGAAAAGTAGAACTGCATGATACTTTGCACATACAATTCATGTCATTTTTTCGCTCTTCCGAAATTTATGGAACTCGGTTTTAACGATTGCTCTTCCAAACTACATGGAACTCAGTAGAAGTGGAAAAGATACAAAACAAACATGAAGGTGAAGGTGAACTTACAATGGAGGGATCGAAATATTTGATGTCCTCTGCAGTGTACTCTTTGGTAATACCACCCCCACTGAAATCCACCATCTCGACCCGAAAAACCTCTCCAGCTGCCACTTCTGCCACTGGTGGTATGTTCGGGTGCCATCGGTTGTGAAGAGGAAGCTTCTGTTCCCATGGCTTCTTCTTCATGTCTATAGGCACAACCAGTCTCGGTCCATAAAATGCCATTACTCGGCGAGTCTTTGAGTTTCGATGTTTTGATCTCTACTGAATGCAATTGGGAAAGTCAAGGTAAAATTAGATACAAGATTCTCTGTTGTGGATAAAATCATTTGAAACATTCAAAATTCATATTAAGATGGAAATTTGACAGCCATGAAAGGAATTAGTAACCACTTATTAGTCATTACTTTTCTTCTTTTTTTCTTCGCCTTCAAGTGGATGGACCACTTTGAACTGATTGAGATTTTGTCACAGTTGCTTTTGAAAATTTGGATTGCTTGAGAATAAGAACATTTTGCTTATAGTACTATGGAAAAAGTTTAGCCACCAATTAAAGAATAATCCCCTCTACTCTACTTGCTCAATTTTTTTTGGTCTTTGATTTAACATCTAAAAGAATTTGAAATCTTGTACTGTAGATTCCTATCCGATAAGTTTTCGGAGTCCTACTATGTATTAGTGGATTATATTAACCCATGAATTCTTGAGTGCATGTTTAACTGTTAAATTCGGCAATGTATGTCAGATGTTGGTGCGCTCTTGAATTTTCGGGTTTGGACGGGAATTGGCTAACTCAAGTTGCCTTCTCCTTCTTAGAGGACCCTACAAATTGGAATCTTAAGGATATTGCTGCTATTTTGTGTATGATGAATTGAACTTTGGGTTGTTCGTATAGAGAAATTGTTGCTCTCTTTGATTTTTCTGGCTGGTCCCAACAGCTGTTTTGTAGGGTTTTTTTAATAATTTGATTGGGAATTTGGATTATGATGTGTAGACTACTGAGAATTGGGATTACTGACATGATTAATTAGACTAAGAATCTTATCTTATTATTCGACATGTTACATCATTCTATTTATTACATCATATTATCTTAATTTTTGTTTAGATTTTTTATGGTGCATGCCACTTATCCTAATGAGTGATGGTTGATAAAATGACATATTTATTGTGTCAATTATATCATAATACGTGAAATATTAGATAAGACTTAATAGTAATTTGTGTTATACTTAGTATTACGATTTGGTGATATTTTCTCTTTCACTTTGTGAGTGAGGTTTTAGTTTTGATTATCGTGGATGATAATTATGATCAAAGTATTGTGGTCGACTCGTCTTGTATCCAGTTTGCCCAAATCTTCACCCCCTTAGTGTGAATATATCCTTAAGATTAAAATAATATATATTAAACTACATTCAAGTTTGCACCCGCCTAAGAAGAGTGGGATATGGCATACTAAACTCAAGGACTTAAACGCGTTTAATTTGGCATTAAAGCCGAACGTGATAATGAATCTCTCGTATGCTTATCTTATTCTTCATGCTCTGCTGAGATCAACAATAGTAAACTACATTTCAAACATTATCTCATAGATTAGGTATGTGTACGGACTTGAATTTTTTGTTGTCAAATGCCTTATCCTTCTACCCATAGATAAGTAATCAATTCACCAAATTAGAGTTTCTCTTTGTTTTGTTGTGACTGACCAACAGGACCACAGTCCAACTTCTTCACTCTTTTGTGGCTGAACCGATTGTATATTATAGCATAGTCGTGTTAGAAACAACTTCCGGAATGAAGGGGACTAAACAAGAATAAGAGAGATCCATTGATGAAGATCCGTCCCCTTCTCTTTTCTCGGAATAAAAAGAGGATACGGACAAAATTGATGAAACGAAAGGGATCGAGTGAATGGGGAGGAACAAACAAAGGATCAATTTCACTTTGAAGAAACATGGTACAAAAAAAGACCCATTTATGAAACTTATTATCTATTTATGTTAATCGAGGTGATAAAGATGTATGATTTTTCTTCTTAATCTCATATGTTGATTTTATGTTACTTGACTACAAGGTAATATTGTAGATTTTTCTTCATAACATTAATCCGAATATGTTCTAATCGAGTACGAGATATCACCAATCTTCACCTTTCTTTTCATTGGACTTGTAAGTACTAGATTAGATGCTCCTACACATATTTTCCATATTTTTCAATGCGTGTTATCTCCAAGACCATACATATTGAATTTCTAGTTTCTTAACAAGGCTTGAAGGACAAATAATAAAAATTAGGGGGTTAAGATTAAATTCAATAATGCTAAGGTCACCATGACAACTTTGGTTATCCACTATTGTAAATGAGAAAAAAGTGAGGTCAAAGAGGGGGGAATACCAAATGAATGGAAATTTTAAAATTAGTTTGTCTCGAGCAAGAATTTGTAGCTCAAATTGTTAAGAGCATTTACGTATTTGAGATCTTATGTTCAATTCACCCCCTCGCTTTTGCATGGTTAAGACAATAAGAAAAAAGGTGAATTGGCTCCTCTAATCCTAATCCTAGTAGTATCACAGTTGTAAACTTTACACTCAAACATTTATCCAAAATCCATCCATAAACAACCCAATGCATTAAGTTTTCAAATAAAACTGATGACAAATATAAGATTTTCAAATGACTGTAGTACTAAGTGACAAGTCCAATTTGAGTTAAGAGTTTAATTTCTAAATTAACATGCAGATTCTTTTTAGGATAGCCAAAGGCCGAAGGTCAAGCCCATGAAAAGGAGGGAATTTTCTTTTCATGCAAGTTCTAGCAGTATTTTAAGCTAATCATCAACTTTACATTGTAAAACAGATACGCAAAATAATATGTTAGTGTAAAATTTTTTGTGTCTGGTAGTCAACCCAAGTGAATAGCCTGACCCACACACAAAAGAGTCTAGCCATTGCATTAAAGTTTGTACCTACATAGATATATAGACCAAGTGATACATAAATACAAAATAGCACCATCATAATTCTTTAGACCAACTTCAATTCTTGAATCCAAACCCAAATATTTAGGTCCATTACAGAAAGACTTAAAATTTATTAATTGTTGTGGAATGGTTTTAACCTTAGTTTTTTTAGGTAAGGCCATCTCTAACCGAAGGGTCCAGAGGGCCAAATGGCCGAAAATAGCCCTAAAACCGTCTCCAACCAAGGGCTGGGCCAGAGGGCTTTGGAATCTGGGAGGGCCCCACGGGATCAGGGAGGGCTGGAGGGCTGGCTGCTTTCGGCCAGCCAGCCAGCCCCGGGCTGGCTATTTTTTTTTTAATGTTTTCCTATTGTTGTCGGTTATAACCGACAGCATTAAAGAAGAATTTTTTAATACTGTGGGTTATAACCGACAATATTAGTTATTCAAAAGCAAAATTTTTATTTTTAATTACTATTAGTGTCGGTTATAACCGACACTAATAGTTTGAATTTTTTTTAATATAACGGCTAGTAGCCGTTGTATTAACTTTTTTTTTTTTTTTATGAATTTAAACTTCTTTTTTTTCCTTTTCATATGAATCATATTTTGTTTCAATTCTATTTTACAAAATTTGTTTCAATTTTTTTTTTAAATTCTATTTTTTTTCCTATAACTTCTATTTTACAAAATTTGTTTCATATTTTTTTTTAAATTCTATTTTTTTTCCTATAACTTCTATTTTACAAAATTTGTTTCATATTTTTTTTTTAAATTCCATTTTTTTCCTATAACTTTTATTTCACAAAATTTGTTTCAATTTTTTTTTAAATTCTATTTTTTTTCCTATAACTTCTATTTTACAAAATTTGTTTCATATTTTTTTTCATATAACTTCTATTTTACAAAATTTGTTTCATATTTTTTTAAATTCCATTTTTTTTCCTATAACTTCTATTTCACAAAATTTGTTTCATATTTTTTTTCAATTCTATTTTTTTCCTATAACTTCCTAGGCCATTTATACAACATTAAATTAAATTAAGTAACATGAAACAACATTAAACAATATGAAACAACATTAAATAACATTAACCAACATACAAATTATACAACATAAAAAACCATTTAACAACATGAAACTTAAACTACATTTTTAAAAACATTTAACAACATAAAACTTAAAAGCCTACTTCATGCTTCTTTTGGCCCAAAGATGTGCAACAAGATCCTGTTGTAGGTACTTATTTGTGGCACGAGAACGTATCATTCTATAGTGCCTCATATACTCATTTATAGAGATACTACCAGTTCTTGGATTGAAAGGCAAATTAGGCCCATCATATATTTTTGCTAGAACCCTTCTTGACCTATTTGGATCTTCTTGGTCATCATCGGACTCTCCATCAATATACCCATCTCGCTCATCCTCCACTATCATATTGTGTAATATGATGCAAGACATCATGATTGAGTTCAAATTTTCTCGACTCCACCCTCTTGCCGGTTCGCTGATAATCTTCCACCGTACTTGTAGAATACCGAAAGCTCTCTCAACATCTTTTCAGTATGCCTCTTGGTGTAAGGTAAACAACTTTTCTGCATCATTCCTAGGTTTTGGAATTGCTTGGACAAGTGTCGCCCACTTTGGGTAGATGTCATCTGCCAAGTAATACCCCATATTGTATTCACGGCCGTTGATGTAGTAGTCAAGTTGAGGTGCTTTACCTTCTGTCAAGTTATTGAAGAGGGGTGAACGCCCAAGAACTGTAATGTCATTTTGGGATCCAGGGACTCCAAAGAAAGCATGCCAGATCCATGTGTCATATGAGGCAACTGCCTTTAACACAACAATTGGCTTTCTCGACCTTCCGTTAAAGCCTCATTGCCATCCAGTGGGACAGTTCTTCCAATCCCAATGCATGCAGTCTAATGACCCTATCATGCCCGGAAACCCACGGTCTTCAGCTTTGTGAAGGAGCCGATTCAGATCTTCTTGATTTGGCTCTCGGAGGTACTCGTCTTTGTAAACCTGAACAATTGTGTTACAAAATTCTTCAAGAGTATTAAGGCATGTAGACTCAGACATACCATGGGTTTCATCCATCGAATCAGCTGAGGAGCCATATTCCATCATTCGGAGTGCAACAGTAACCTTTTGATGAGGTGAGAAACCAGGGCAGCCTGCTCTGTCCCGCTTCTGTCGAAAGTATGGATTGACCTGCTGGACATCACGAAGTAAATGCTCGAAGACATGACGCCTCATCCGGAAGCGACGTCTGAAATCCTCTTCTGTGTACACCGAGTTGGGGTTGAAGTAGTTGTTCATCAGATTGGCATGCGCCATCGCTTTGTTTCGTGGTTTGTAAGAGCGACCAGGAACAGAGCCACCCCATTGAAGTTGTTCCTCAGTTGGCTGACACACCATGGCCGCAGCCATGGCTGCTGCCATGTTTTGTTTGTTGCGCCTTACTTGAACTTCTTCATTAGACTCCTCATCTTCTCGTCTCATTTGCGCCCATTTTGCTTCCAATTTGGAATTAGATGAGGACCCCCAATTGGAATTGGATGAAGATCCAAAGTTGGAATTCATTGCAAACTTGAATTGAAAGAGATTGAATTGCAAGAGATTGAATTGAAATAGATTGAATTTAAAGTTGTGTGAATTATAGCCCAATATCCACCCTATTTATAGCAAAAAAAAATTCAAATCCAACGGCTAGCTAACGTCAGCATGATGTCAGCTACCAACGGCTAGCTGACATCATGTTGACATCACTTAGCCGTTAGATTTGAATTTAAATTGTAGTTTTTAAATAATAAATTATGTTTGGCCCTATGACCCTTTGGCCCTCGGTTGGAGACGGTTTTTTGTGACAGAGCTAAAACGAGCCCTCTGGCCCTCGGTTGGAGACGGAGGCCAATATGGCCATGTACTGTTCATTAAAATATTAATATCTTGGGGAATCTTGGAGGGCCAGAGGGCTAAAACGAGCTCTCTGGCCAGCCCTCGGTTAGAAATGGCCTAAGGATTCTTTTTTGTAACTTTGAGTTATGTTATCTTAAATTTTTTTTTTTTTTACTAAT